CTCAATCTCAGCTGTCAGTGGAGAGGCTCCGGTTTGCTCTTTCTAAGAGAGAACGGAACGTAATAGTTACTGTATTGCTGTGAGTTTTGGCTTTAACAGCAACAGCCTGTATACTTTTTTAAAATTGGGTCATTAATTATTTATTTGTAGTCTTTTCTTTTCGTCTTACTGACCTTGAATGTAAATGAAATTAGGTTAAACTTGTTTTCTCCTCCAACATTTAATTGAATTCAGTGATTAAAGAGCAGGATGTGATGCTAAGAGGTACAAGCAGAGGTGTGAATGGATCAGCATGTTTCAGGGGACTGGACTCAATGTTAGGACCTATCAGCCAAATCGTTGTCCAGTAAGTATGTGAGATCCACTGGAACACTGAATGCTTTGTAATTGGGTTTACAGTTGATTTTATTTAATTTTTATTAGTCAGATGACATAACTAATGCATCATAATTTCACATGACATATAGATATATGTATATATACATATTTTAAAGTGACTCCTCAAAAATGGACCTTTATGCAAGTCATTTCTGCCATATGGAACCGTCTGTGAAAGTCCTGAAGTTTGCAGCTGCTGGTCCTCTTCTTTTCACCACCATCCCTCTGTCTGTCCTGCGTTCACTCATCACTGTGAGCTTTGGCTCTTCTACAAAACATGACTGGTCCAAACAGCCACAAACCATCAGGTCTGCAGAGGGCATCATATCACTGCTGACCTTCCCTCTATCTAGGACCTGCACAGGTAGGAGGTCAGAGGACGTCCCTGCAGACCCACAAATCACGTGCAGCAGGGCTATTCAGACGTCATCATGCATCTCATGTAGCGAATGGCAGATGTTGTGTAGAAAGGCCTTTAAAAGCAATGTGTGGGTAGTTCTGATCTGATCTTATATTGTGTCACCAGAGCAGAGAAACCCTTCTGCTCAAGACTGTTTAACTTCTGTAATTCTTCTCTGTTCAGATGTTTCCCCACCTTGTTGATTTCCTCCCTGCACTGGAAAAAAATGGAAATCTAGATAATGAATTTTAATTAAGTGTATTTGTTTTGGATTGAGTAGGTAAAAAGAGACATTTTTCCAATGCAACAAGACAATTTACACTTAAAATAAGAAAACACAATTGCATTGCCTTATTTCAAGTGCATATCATGTAATTATCTTATTTTAAGGGTAAAAACACTCATTCCACTGGCAAACTATCTAATTTACCTTCTCAAATTAAGGATAAATACACTTAATTTAAGAAAGTTTTACTTTACTTCTGTTCATGAGAACAGAGCTACCCTTGCTCTCATCACTGCTTTTCGTAAACTTGTTTATTCGCCTCAGCCTCATTTGGTTGTAAGCGAGTCCAGGCGTGTTCACCTGAACAAAGGTCGTCATTATGTTGAATTAATATTCCTTAGAAAGGGGTTGAGTCACTCAGTGACGTATGGAGCCATTTTTTTCTCCTTGTCTGCTTTAAAACGTTAAAGAAATGTAAATTAAAAATAACAAAGCCTAATGTTCAACAACATTACAAGCTGTTTTTGGACTGAAATCTCCTCCTGCTGTTTAATAAATGAAAAGGAAAATATTTTGGACATGAAGAAGCTCTCAGAGCTGCTTGTTTCCAGCAGTCATATTTTGAACAAAACATAAAGTTGATAAGTTAACACAAGCTATTTTTCTAAAGACAAATAATTGTGTAAAGATTGCCACATTTCTTAAAATAATCGTGCTGAATTGTTTATTGGATCACTGATTAGAAAACACTTTTTTTTCTACACCCCTAAGATTCTTTTTCAGACTCAAACCAACAAACAAATGCAGGGATTTACAGTATATTTATTCACATGAGTTGCATATTGTAGTTAATTTTAAAAGCTGAACTTTCATTCTAAAAGCAACCATTTTTATTTTGCAATAATTAAGGCATCGATATAATAATAATGAATATCATTCCTCCTTCTGCTTGAAGACATTAACATGAAGGAGAAAACATGTAATTCACTATTTCTTTTGAAAAAGAAAATGCAGCATAGTTTAACCAGTTAAATGACTGGATGAGGATTTTTTTCCTCCTCTTTCTGTAACTTCTTTTGTTTAANATTCCAAAAGATTAGATCCAGTTGCAGCTGCCTTACCACACTGCGTAAGATCAGTTTGTGCTGCTGCTCTAGCTGTGCAGAGCCCATCTGAAATTGTCTTGTATCATCCGCTGACCTTGTTAATACCTCATGCAGTGGAACTGTGGGTCACATTAGCAAAAATGACTTTTATGTCTCCAGCCAGACATCTAAATATTATGACCACTTTGCTGTCTCAGCCTCACCTCACGCTTCAGAGATGTAATTCTTTAAATCCCTCAACCTTGCGGCCTACACCGGAAGATGGTGACCCTCACCAATGTGTTGAGAAAACAACTATGAGTTGCAAGCCGCGTTCAGATATAAAAGATGAACCACAGGAGGGTTATAAAAATTTGTATGTGGATGTGTCAGTTTCCAGAAAGAAATTTTACAATTGTAGATGAGTTAAAAAAAAAAAACCTCTTTACAGTGCTGCTTTAAAATCATCATATTCTGCGCAAGCTAGCAGAAATTGTTGCATTAACGAAAACATGTGAAATTTCAAAAGGCATCAAGGATGCAGGGGCGGTTTTAGAACTTCAAAGGGGGCTTTCAGCCCAGACCAGTAAAAGCAGACCAGGAAGGAAGAGTCCACAGGGGAAGTTCTTCATCTGAGTGTGAATAGGTGTTTGAGCAAATGGGGGAGACATTAAAATAGTAGACGTGTATGAAGCATGGGGGATATTAAATGCATTAAAGGCAAAAACATGAATAGTTTCAACAATTATTAGACAAACAGTTAGACTTATATGCAATTCAGGAGCCTGTAAAATTTGCATTAAAGATAACGTAGGACTAAAACCATCTAAAATGCTAGTTTTTGTAAAATCAGCAAATGGCCAAACATCCTAGGAGTGGATGTCAAAGGATTAGGAAAAAGATTGCAAGGTTGCATGTTTTTGTAGTAATATCACCAACTAACCACATTAATTTGTTAGGATGGGAATTGATGGGAAAATTTAAGCAATTTTTCCCAAACAGGGTGGCATGAAGGCTGAATGTGGAGAACATATAAATAGCGTTTCAACAAAATCTTCTTGTGTTTATATGGACTATGCTAGAAGCACATTGTCAGATCCACTGGATGAAAC